ACGTCAATGTTATTCTTATGTTTTTTTGCACTATTACATTTTGGATCAATTAAAGAGGAAATAAATGTAACCGATGCTTCAAGTGAGAACACGCATAAAAGAGTGGATTTTGGATCTAAGCACAAGTTTTTGGGATAATGGCCCACGTGTCATAACGTGCCATTTCTCTGAGCTCTTATTATGGTGTTATCGAACCAGATCTCCACTCTGCAAAAAGACAAAGCTAAAGCAAACTCCGAACCATCCTTTACCGTTCGATCTCAATATGCCACATTTTATACGATAATTCCATTTAGTATTTGTAACCTTTTTTCTAACCAAAAATTGCTATTAATAACTACATCCTATAAATAAGAAAACATCCAGGACTTTAGAGTATATCCGACTGATTATGAAATTAAGTAACTCTACTATTTTCTCTTTCAATCAACAGATTTAGGTGCAATATTCGTTGATTCAATTATGACAGTTTGGACAGATGAGTCGTAACAAGTAGATATTAATTCACGACATGTGACTATAATTAATTTATTAATCAATCTTTCAAACATCATAATTATTTTTCTTCTCAACCACATATCATTCCAAATTCCTGCCTAATTCAGCTTACACTACTAATTTAATCTGTATCCTCACTTATAGATAGATATTAATAAATTCAATTGTTTTGATATCCATTGATCTCTTGCAAATCCAATTATTTATTAAACCGACTCATTGTTATCGTCCGGTTCGTTTGTGTATAGGTTTAGAGTCCGGTTCAATTCCCAAAATAACGGTACAATAGACCCCACATTCGATGTATCTACTAGGGGACCGAGTCAACAATTTTGTCTTACCTCGAAACTACGTTTATACAAGAATCTAGGTACTCGTGACTCTCTTATGTTTTTATACACAACAATAGTAGTAGTACATTTATGCATGTCCACATTTATACATCAAAAATGTCTTTATGTACACACTTTACACAGATACTTTTACATCAAAATCTATGTCACGGTCCGTGGATATCATTAAATGCATTGTTCTTTTTTATGTGGGTAAAATTAGCAATAAAAATGAAACACTATCAAAAGAAACCTAAAATTATTTATTTAAAAACAGAGAGAATACTCTAAAAGTAAATCAAATAATTTACACATACATTAATATCCAACAAAGGTACGTATAAAGAAAGTACAAAACTAACTGCTTTTCATAGATCTCAATGGGTTTCGACGAAGGCATCAACTAACCAATTGCTTTTGACGGTTGGGATCCTCCGAAATAATTAAGTGAGTGTGTGGCAATTAGAGACCTTTGGTTCTTATGGTACGACATGAATTAACGTGTCTTTACATCAGATCAGACCGAACTAAAGTCGCATCTAAATAATTAAGACTTTTAGCAAAAAATCTAAATAATTAACCATTACAAATGATACGTTTTTTTCTTCTTCTTATTACATGAATTTATTTTTATATTTATAGCAACAGCGGAAGCTGGCAGGTTGGTCCATTTTATTGGACTCTAGTCGTAATGCCACGATGAATATTTGACTCTTGTCCACGTCACTGTTTTTTTTTGTATTAAAAATGGGAAAATGAATATAGTAGTATATATCAGGGTTTTAATTGGACCACGATTTTACTTGTTTTGGAAATTGATTAGCATTGAACTGCGTGCCTACCAGAATTGATTTTTAGGAACATTTCTTCTTTTCTTATAGGTTTTGAATCATTAAAAAACTCACGCAATTTATCAAAAGAGTAATAGTAAACTCGTGTTTCTTTAACCGTAAAAGTTAAATGGGCCGTTAAATCGAAGATCTTACAAACTAAATCTGGGCCTTTACTTCTTAGCATTTACAGGCCCAAAACGATTTCAATTTTCATTTTCCCGTAATCTGTTTTGTAGCACAAAAGTCAATGATCTTTATGGATAATAGTGACGATGATGCTTATTAAGCCATTTCAATCAAAACCGAGGAAAATTACATAAAGTTTGTATGTATTCTTGTTCTATCTTTGACAACTATTTAACAAGATCTTCCCATTTGCAGTATTGACCACCGGCCAATGCACGGTAGTAACGGTCTCTGCAATAGACCGGTCTTCCATCAGCAGCCTCAGCCGCGGCCGCTGCCAAGTCATCGTCCGTCACAACATCTACGGGTAACCGAAGCAATTGCTCTTTTCTGTATATAACAAAAAGAGGTGAGTTTTGCTTTTCAACAAAAGTCAAGAAGAGGTATGTTGATTGATCTCTTTATATTATACCTCATATTGAACTTCTTGTTGTTGGTTCTTGAAATGGAAACTTCTGTTTGGCTATCCTTAGATCTTAGTGTGGTTTTAAAGAAATCCTCGACTGGTGTTGCGAAAACGAATAGCACGAATGCTGAAACGAGTAAAGCTCCTGTTCCAACTAAGGTTTGTTTGAGCATCTTGATTACTGGCTTCACCTGAAAATTCACAAAAAAATTACCCCATTTTCTTTTTTTTTTGCCTTGTTTTCAACATTGCATAAGAAAGAAACATAGCCATCATAAAACATTGATTGTGTAATGTTGTTACCTTGTACGAACCTAACAACCTGTCGCGAGCCAATACCTGAAAACACAAATGCAAGTGACTAATCCACAACAGTTCCATTAATGGGAAACTATTAAGAATCACAACTTTCCATTTCAAGCTACCACAGATGACTAGAAGTCTACAACTATGGAAACTGGTGATAACTTTGTAGCGAGTAGACATATTTCAAACTTTCGGGTTTCATTTCTGTTGCCTTCTCTCTAGACTAGCAAAGGGAATGACTTTAAAAATGCTAACCTCAGGTGGTTTCACCCACATTTGTCCATCATACCATCCGCTCTCTTCGTATGGAATAACTGCAGAAAGTAGTCTATCTCCAACATAGCTCCATCCCTTAAAAGTTAAAGCAAAATCAATCAGTTTCATTGAGGAAATTGTGTAAGCCGAGAGAAGCAAGGAAAGTCTAATAATAATACCAGGTAAATTCTCAAGACAATCAATGAAACCAGGAATAAAGTCCCAGTCCCTGCAGCTAGAACAAACCTCAAAGGTTCCTGCAACATATTTTCAAAAGAATAATATGTAAAATACTGTTACAAAACACATCATCTTTTTCTTGCAGAGGCTCTTGGATTCGAAGCTCACTCTAGAAGGATTAAAGCTAGCAGCTGCAATAGGAACTCCAAGAACAGTGAAAGTCACCAGCCAAAGACCACCGAGACGAATAAAGAACTGGCTTGGACCTAATTCTCCCCATGAATACAACATCCCTTCTTTCAAAGACGAATACTCATTCACCTAACAACAAAGATTGAATAACCAAAAGTTTATAACTTTTATTTTACTTG